ATCGATTTTTCTTAGCCTTCGTACCAAGGCACGGCCTCAAAAGTATTAGTTTTTATGACCGAGAAGGTTTTGGAAAATCGACAAATCCCAGGCCCCTGCATAAAGTTTCCGTGCCAGGAGTCCCGTCGCACCAGAAAACGTCCGTTACTGCGCCGCAGGGCAGCTGCTCGTAGCAGGACGATTTTCAAAGGGCGACTTCTAATGAGCTCCCGCTACCCCGACAGAGGGTCCGGGAATACTGCTGGGAGATTATGTTCCCGTGCTTCGTCCCTTCTCCGTTCCCAGTCCCCGGCCTCTCTATCTTTCACTTCGTTTCCACCTCTGGAGGTTTTCCCGAGCAGCCAGATAAGAGAGTTTCCTCTCGGCGCCGAAGCGGCTGGGATTTTTGCCTCGCGCGCAATGACAGAAACCTGATAATAAAGCAAACCCGATATCTCTTGCTCTGCAAAGAATACTAGTTATTTATATAAAAGTGCAACAAAGTGATCTCTCGCTCTCTCGTTACTATAAATGGAGCTTACACCCGTGTTATTGCACGACGCTCTTAAGTAATCGCATCTGGGAATGTACGAATAACTGGTACTGCAATTGGATATCATTCCGCAGCTTGCGAAATCCGCCCTCTCGTTTACGGCGATGCGAAAACGATTGTCTTGACCCGTTCCCTTTTGTTTCTCGGATCCTACGTCCTACGGAGCGGCGCGTGGGAAAAGTAGCCCTGCTTTAATGTTACAATATGAATGTTCCTCGCTATCGGAGGCTCTATAGAACCGACGTGCATTTTCTTTTTCCCCGAGCAATTGTAATTTAAATGCGCACCAGTAGACACGTATCGAGCCTGTGCGATCTATCGATCGATCCCCGCGTAATTCTACTCGATCGGCATAAAATCCCATCGCTCTTTTTCCAAGGAGGTTCGAACGGCGCGTGGGACGGGGACGGGCGAGAGTCCGCGGTGCACGGCCGCACACACACCCGGCGCAACGTCGTATGGCAAATGCCATGATAAACACCACCGTCGCGCGGGTCACGTGCACACGTCGTCGCCGAACGTTACGTCACCGCGTCTTCACCGACGCGGCCGTCCACACAATCGCACTTGTGTGACCTTGTGTTTTGTATATATCATCCCTCCCTGCCTATCCTCCTCTCTCCCTCTCGCTCTCTCTTTCCCTTTGTCGCTCCTCCCTTTCCGCATCCCGCGAGAATATCCCTCGCCTCGCCCCCGTTGCCCTCCCGCGCTGCACCGGCATCACGTGTGGCATGAACAGGAGAAAGGGAGCACGAAGAGGAGGAGGAGGAGGAGGAGGAGGAGGTGGCGAGGGGGAACGGTAGGGTGGTTTAAACGGGTGAACACGTCGCAGCTAAGGTCGCGGCGGACGTTACTAGGTCACTGGAGTGACCGCGATGCATTGCACCCGCCCCCGCTCCACCTTCCAACCCCCCTTGCGCGTCGTCCCCCTATCTTCCTCCTCTGCCCTGATTCTCGCGGTGCCCTTTCTTCGACGCTCTGCCTTCCCTCGGTGTCCGCGGGGCCAGAGGGAACGGATGTGGGATTCGGATTCCCTTCCCCTTCTCGCCGTCTCTCTCTCTCTCTCTCTCTCTCGCGCGGAGCAAGAAGTTTGCGTCATGGTTAAGGGCCAGTTTCACGAAACGCCGGTTAACTGTTAACCAGAGTTCAGTCGACTCCCTTATCGTTTTCTATCTTATTATCTGAGAAGAGACGGAGAGTCAATTAGCCGAACGTCTCTCTCACTTCGGTGTTTCGTTTTCCGGCAAATCAGAAGTTAGACGACCCTCCATCTTTTTCTATGATATTATTTGAGAAGAGACAGAGGCCCGTATTTATAGTCGTTTCTCAATTCTCAAGAGTGTATCAGGTGAGCTACTCAGATTGGAGTTTCATGTCTTGAGATACAGACGGCTCAATAGTTACATTTTGATCAAAGATCAAACTGAAACTGTATTCAGCTGAAAAGGGGACCGATTATTCGCCTGAGAATCTTGAGAGTCAAAATATCGATTAAAGCGGCGATACGCAATTTTACTCGACTCAAATCTTACAAGATGATACGGAATCCAACAACCATTTTCTAAAACTTCCTCTGAGAATCTCTATTGAATCGAGATTGCAAACAAATATCAAATTGAGTCTCAAGATTCATCTATTAAATAGTATCATGTCTCAAGACTGGTTTTACCTGAGTTTTTCAGCAGAATCGCGACTATAAATACGGGCCAGAGAGTCGACTACCGAAATGACTCGTCGATCGATGTCAAAATGATGTCAAATCGACGTCATTTTATGATTAGACATCGTTTCGACAAATCATTTTTCGCTGGGCGACCTCCACTGGTTAACAATTAACCAGAAAATGAAAAACCGAGCCTTAAAATTCAAACTGAACCCGCGAATCATGCGAGCTGCTACATCGCTCGCCGCTCTCGAGTTCCATTGTCCCGGAATCTCTCCGCGCGTGTTTGAAAAATTCTTCTCTCGGGCCTTCCGATTAGTCGGATGGACCGCGTCTCTTTTGCGTCTCGAGGCTTTCAATCGTCGCGAATTAAAATGGGAATTCTGCAAATCCGCCCAGAAACCTGAAATGTTATTGCAAAATCGGAGCGAGTTTTTTCGACCGGGAGTTACCGTAGCCAGGCGCGTCGAAACCCAAGTTCGAGTTCCCGCTTCGCTCGTTTACGCTTCGGCAAACCGGTTTCGACGATTTCAGCACCGACGAAAAACCGGACCTCGGTGGAACGCGCTCATGTAAATCGCATAGCCCCGAAGTACAAACGAAATTGACAATAGACGATAGAAGCAAACATGAATTGTGCAAATCTAAAAAAAAAAATATATATATATATATATAACAATCTCTATAGAAAATATTACGCACACGTCTTGTCCTTCTAACTAAATGTAATCATTTCTTTGAACGAGTTGAATTCGAGAAAAAATTGGTCGATCCGCCGTGCGCAATTCGCCACTCGCAGTGATTCGCTAGCCGAACGGTTTTCTTTTTAAGAAAATAGCGGTTTCTTGACCGATATTGAAACTTAACTAATTGCAGACTTATGATACAAGTCCTGTAATAACAGGCGAAGGTTAAAAGTTGTCCAAGTTAACACGAACGAAATGACGACACAACACGCATTTTCATCGAATTAAACTAATTTCATAAATAAACGAAATCAACTTTACGAATTAAAAATTAAAGGGCGTCTCACAAGAATTACTCAAGTCACCGTTGACGTGAACGTACGCGTAGATTCACAGAGAAATTTGTGAGTCTCTGCTCCCACGTGAAATATCTCGCGGATTATTACAAGAAATCAGCTGTTCTAAATTAAACGTCTTTCTTCTCGGCAATTCACCGTGTTGACAAGCAATAATTATTTAAATTACGAAGAACAGATATTCCTTGATGAACTCGTAAAGGCTAAGTATATATGTGAACACGCACAATTAAATGGAATTATCGCGTCAACATAAATCAGCAAACTGCAAGGTGTCGTCGATCCTTCCTGCAGCGCTGCCTGCGAAGGTCAACGCTCAATAGCTCCACGATTGCTTATTTGGCCTGTGTCCGGATGTGTCATTCACCTTGACTCGTTCCTATTGTTCCCCGATTACCGAGCCTTGTAAAATTTTCGTATCTTATACCTAACTTCTCGGTCATTTCCTTTAGATACGCATAACGAAACAGATTTAAAATGTCCGAAAGTCTTTCTTAGAAATATCAATAGCTGAATGGAGCTAGGAAACGTGACTCATCCGTGTTCAAGAGACATTTAAAGTCCCTTTAAAAACGGAGTACGGTTCTACAAGGAACTTCGAAATTTTCAGATACCACTTCTGTATAGCGTCAATGTATGTTTGCAGTTTTCCTCTAGTCTTGTCAAGAACCTGTTTGAAGCGTCGCGGACAAAGGATTGTTCGTCATTGTTAAGAATTTTGTCAATTGTCAAAAGTATAAATTCCACTCCTCCAGCGATGTTAGACTATGTATAACAGTTTAACTTTAGAAAGCGTATCGTGAGATTGCTTTTTGAATTTTAACATCTCTCCGCATATTCTTTCTCTCTCCTGTATAAAATAGTCACTTTCAATAGCTTTTACAGCGCATGAAAATAAAAACAATGCGCTTTATCTACAGGATGTTTTTCGTGCGTGTAGTCGTAGTCGAGAAGATTTATGAAGAATTAACCATCGATACGCTTCTATTGTGCAAGAAAACGGAAAAAATCTAAGGCAAAGTAGGGAGTAAAGAGACGCGCAGAGGCATGTGCTTCTGGCGGCCGAAAACGGACGTGGTTTTGCGGTCGCGACTGCGGTTTCACTTCGCTCCCAGCAAGATGAACGACGACGTCAACGACGAGGAGTCTAAGGAGCGACGCGACGTCGAGAGAAAGTCTGGAAGATGCGAGAGGCGAGACGCGTTTTACTTTCACCTTCTCGCACGTATCCGCAATGCCGCCGTGTCACGCTCGTTCGAGGCTGAAGAATGACGAATCATCGTTTCGGAAATACGCAATAATCGTGGGATTTCTCGCCCCGCGATTACCCATGCGTGTTTCCCACCTTTTGCGCGCACGGCCCCATTTTTCCAATTTTTATGAAAACAATCGGGAGACAACAGTTTATTCCATTGAAACGCAACGGCAGACACGCGCGATAAGAGTTCTGTAAATTTAAAGCTGTGAAAAAAATTGCAATTGACAAAGCAGACGGTTACAAGTGAAGTGAGACGAATCGAAGCTGACAGAATCCTCGGAACGTGGTTCTGAAGCTGCGCGCGTTTAGCATGTGAACGATCTTAATTTCACTTTTTTCTAGCACACGAGCACTTGCGTATCACTCCAAGCTCGCGTTCCTCAAGGAATCGAGAACCCGGCAGAAATTTTCAAAATTAACTTAAAAAGTGGAATGTGGGAGAGGTAAGAAAAAGGACGTCGGCTGACGTAAAAGTTAAAGATTTCGAGAATTAAAAAGCTAAAAATTTGGGGGCTTTAAACGTTCATTAAAGTATTTATAACAACAAAATTTAGAGTTCTAAAATCAGAGAAAGTTTCGATAATAGTACTAAATGTTCTTTAAATGAACTCTCGAGTAGATACGTACTAAGTACTTAAATAATTAGTGTTCCTAAAACTATGCGCGCGTAGCGTGTGTGTGTATTTGTCGCAGGCCGGACGCTATTTTACTGAGCTTGATGGACTGAAAGCATTACTTTTATTTCTTTCTAAAGTTTTTTTTTTACTTACAAGGTATTTGGTTTGCTCCATGCATCACTCTGACATGCAGTTTTCTCATTAGGTATATAAATTATGGTAATGATTCGGTATTATATAATAATTATAATTATAATAATAATTATTTATATCATTATTATTAATATTAATATTATCATTGTGTCCAGTATTTCCTCTGCCTTTTTTTGCTACTCACGGAGTGCTTTGCTCTCTTCCTCCCCCTCTCCTCATTCACATACATTTCACCCAATCTCTCTCTCCCTTTCTTTCTCTTTTCAACAATAATAATCGTCGCTTCCGAAGGAATGATTCGAGAACTCCGCCGTATATATTGATTCACGTTGCGCGAAACTAATAAGACGTGATCGATTATCGACTAACTGAAAAGTGATCCACGGTCCGGACGATTCGCAGGTCTCCCTTCCGAGGATCCAAAGGACGCGGGAATTTAATTGTCGGTCGTCCTGGCGCGCGCGCATTCGGGAAAAGCTGCCGCCTGAAGTGTCTAGGAGGAACTGAAATCTTCCGAGGGGATTCACAAAATCTCGGTGCCGATGCTGAATATTTACGCATATTCAAAATTCTCCCGCTGTCCCGTCTTGTATACGGTCTCGGAGTTGACGGTAAATAAAATAAAAAAAGTGTCTCCGCTCCTTATTGCATATGCATTCTCAGACGAAGTCACGGTTTGACGCATTCTTTACACGTGGAGTTCACGGCCGTTTCACGCGTAAACATGCAACATCGCTTTACACTCGCTTGCGAGATCATTCCTCGAGGCTGATCTATCGGATTGTTGACCTCGGGAAGGGATATATATATATATATATAAAACATATGCGCGACGGATGTTTTGTGACAATTGCGAAAACTTCAACGAAAAATCGCAGTGATCGATGACAACCGGAACGTCACGAGGGAGTCTCGTTATTTACGACATGTGACGTCGCGTAGGGTGGATTAGAAAAGTGGACGACGAGAGATGTGTATCAAGAAAGTTTTGCATCACCTTCTTGTTTGTAGAACGGCAGTTTCAGTTGTGTTTGCGTTGAAGAGCGGCAAACGAGGAGCCGTGAAAGAAAGGGGACGTTCGAGTATTCCAAGATACAGCAACGTAAATAGCTCGACAAGAGAGTAAATCATCGACAAAATCATTTCGAGGTCCCGTGAATGCATAATTTCATACAAATTGCCAATTTAAAAGTGTAAGCCGTCAAAATCGAAAGTCTCGTCGAAAACTTCGACTTTGATCATCTCAAATTCTAAAAATTCCAAGTTCTCAACATAATACGAAGAAACGAAAATCCTGTTGCAAGACGCCTCGGGAATGATGTATTGATCGAGTACGTTCGTGAAAGATCCTTTATTTCTAACAACACCGAGTATATACTCTCACGTTTCCTCGTCCGCTCCAACATACTTTATACAGGAGATCCATAATCAAAAGGTGGTGCAAAACTCTTGTTGGCATTACGTGAACGCGCGAGATTGTCCGAACAACAACGGCGAGGATCTAGCTGTATCATCTGACGTCTGACGTCGACGAGGATGCGGACTCGCGTCGGTCACTCAGTAAAAATCGTTACCAGAACGGGAGGAGCGTAAAGAAACGAGATATAACGAGACCGTGGGCGAGATGCGGGAAGGATACGGAAGGGGGAGAGAAGCGGAGCGAGAGGACTTTGAGGATTCGAGGATCCCGAGAATTCATCGGAAACTCCGGGATCCCGGCGCGAATCCACCGCTCTTCTTCCTCGCTCATCTCCTCTCCCCTTCCGTAAGAGTTCGAGGATGAAGGGAGCGGAGCTGCGCTCCGTCCAAGCAATCGCGCAATAGAGTAATTCATCCATCCATCCGCGTCTGTCCGTCCGTCCGTGCATCCATCTCTATACTACCTATCCGTCCGTCCGTCGGTCCATCATCCGTTCGATGATTCAGAATCGACGACGCGGTGCCGCGATGATCGACAGACTTCTGGCGGGCACGAAAGTGCTGACGTTGTTGCTCGTCGCGTCACCGAGCCGATCGGGTCACTTCTTGCTCTTCTTGGTGGGCGGCTCCTGCGCGTCTTGCGCTTCCTGCGCGTCCTGCGCGTCCTGCGAGTCCTCCTCGCATGTATCCTCGCTATCGGTAGGTCGTGGCGTCGCGTTGTTGCTGCTGTCGTTGGTAATGAGGGAATCGTTCGTGTCCTCGCTGGCGCCCACGACAGGATGATCGCTGGCGGTGATTGGCGTCGCCGGTTTGTCCAACGAGTCCTCGGTGAAGGACGTCGTTGTGCTGTTTTCGTCGATCGCCGCCGGGTCGAGCGCTGCCGGCGTGTCCTTGCCATTCGCCACCGTCTCCTGATTACTATCATCCGACGGCTCCGTCGCCTCGCCGTTGCTGGCGCTATGCGAGTTGCCGTTCTCCGTCGAGCCTGGGATGCCGTCGAGCAGCTCCGGCTGCAGCTCGGACGCCACGTAGTGCGTCCACAGCGCCAGTTCGACTCTATGTGGGCTCCATGTCTTGCCGTTTGACGCTGGAACAAAGAAAACATTTTCGTGACATTACGCAAGCGTCCTAAATGTTATCCCTTGCTCGTACGAAAATTCCGCGACGACGCGGAGACGTAAAGTCCAAAGTTTTCAATCCCGAGGCATCAACAATAAAACCTTAGAACAAAAACGAGCCAGTGAAGAACGAAGACGGCGTTAAATTCATTCGGAGATACGGTAATATTTTACTTGGACGTGCGGAAATATAAGATTAGAGAGGTACTAGAGATCCAAACGACGTGGGAAACCTCAGGCGCGGAGAACCAACACGAGACTCTCATTTCCAAGGACTAGAGGCGCGTAAACGCCGCGACGAGCGGGATTGCACGCGCGCGCGGCCGACAATGACTCATAAGTCGCTTACTCTGTTTGTTCAGCCTCTCGACGGTGTTCTGAATGTGCTGGACGAAGTTTAAGTATTCCTTAGTGGTGTAATCGATACCCTCGATCTCCGGTATCGCCATCAGGCACTCGTCCGCCATGAAGGGCGCGTTCTCCGGTGATGCCGCGGCGAGTAGGGCCGAAGCCATCGTGGTACCGACGCCCTTCAGATTCGACAGCGCCGTGATCGCTTGCTCGAGATTCGGGAGCTTCTTGAACGCCTTCTTCGTTTCCGCCATCACGGCGCGCGGTGTGTTCACCTTCACCAGGTAGGATAGCTGCGGGTAGAACTTGCCGCGCTGCAAACAAAATGGCGGGTCAGATCGCCGCGGACCACTCGGATCCTGGATCCTGGCGGCTTCGCGAAGATCCCTCCGCTCGGATCTCGCCGAGGCGTGTCTGTCGCACCCAACCGCGGATTCCGGGCACCGTTCAGCCAAGATCCAAGCGCTTTCGCGTTCGCGCGCGGCCGACGACTCGAGGTACCGACGGTGTAAATTACACGTAAATGCAAATACTCTCGACAATCATTTCCATGGGTATTAATATCGCTTTTCCTTTTCTCTTTACGGTTAATCGAGACCCGCGTCGGCGCAATCTCTTATCCGTGAGAACGAGCTTCGCGCGCGGTCCACAAATTACAAGCTACAGCGTTTTTTCCCCTCCTAATCGCGCGTACCAATTGTGAGGGAGATAGCGATCGGTGCATTCACATAATTGTTAACGCGACTTCTCGCACTTTCGACCGCTATTGGAACAGTTAATAAAAGTCGTCTGTTAATTAATACTCGAGCTGAAAAAAATACGAAAAAATTTGAACAGTAAGACTTGAGACTTGAGAATTTCAATAATTTTGTTTGAATTTTCAGCATTGCTTAAGTTTCAAAAGGGCTGCTCGCGTTCTCGACCGTCACAGGTGACACTTTCCTCGAGTCTTCAGCTTCTTTCGTGTGTTTGGGCCTTAAGGCCTGCGTCCACGATGCTAAAACTCGGTCCAAGTTGTAATTTCGAGAAATGTGTAGCCAATCAACTTGCAGCTTTTATGGAGTAGCTGCAAGTTCACTGACTACACATTTAAAAAAAAACTACAACCTGAACCAAGCTCCAGCAGCGTGGACACAAGCCTTTAAAAGCGCGGTACTCGGACACTCCGCGGCCGCGGCCAAAAGAGGAAAAAGAGATCGGCTTACTATCTGCTTCCACTTCATCGTCTGCACCAGCTCCTCGTGATTGAGATGCGCGTCCTTGCCGCGCGATTTGATCTTCTTCGGAAGCTCATTCTGATACCTGCGGATACGAAACGGCGAAAGCCGTGCGATCAAGATTGGTCCAACGTTCAAGTCGGAGGAGGAAAGCGTGCGCGTGCACACACATACACACACATATGACACACAGTCGCACACCTACGCGCGTACGCGTGAACGAGCGAACAGGCGTGACGTAATCGCGCTGCCGCCGCTGTCGTCGCCGCTGCGGAATACAGGAATTCGTTAAAGGCTCGATTAAAAATACAAGCGCTGCCGCAAGAAGCTCGACACGCCCCTCGTCAACGATTGGACGATACCCATCTTTATCGCGCACGTGGATCACACGTGGATCCGCGCGTCGCGCGACGTTACGTCTTCCTCCGATATTCATATTGCACCCCCTCCCCCGCCGCTGGGGGGATGCAAACATTCGGGAGGCGCGACGGAAGCGTCGGCGCTGCGAAATTGAGGAGCACGCTGTAAAGTTAAGGACACCGAAAGCGCAGCCGGAGAGCCGGACGAATTTTTAAAGAGGCCGCGAGCTTGAAAATCTATTGATAATTCGAATCGTTTCAGCGGCAAATTCCGCAAAAGAAAAAAAAAGGGAAATAATAAATCGGATTTCCGCGCTAACTGCAAATAAGCGCGGGATTCGTTAAAACTCGATACACTTCATTTCCCGGGAAAATCGCGAATTTGCTCGGGGAAATTATTAAATCCGTATTGTCCGGATTGTTTCACGTCGCGGAATCGCGTATGGAGTTAATTATAATTTATAAATCGTTAATTGGGATTTTTGATAATTCTTATCGCGGAAATACGCGTGGAATAATTAAACGGCGGTGATACGCGGCGCAACGCGGGCTTTGACGAGCCGGGGCATTATTAATGAATCATTCGAAACTACACAAAATACATTAAATACTTAATCGCATTGAGCGAATAGCACATTCGAGGTTAAATCTGCGTGTCTCCGAAATTTCGGGAAATTCGCCCTATCCGCAGCGAGGAGCCCAGGGGGGGCGACGACTGTCCCGCGCGCCGACGTCAGAATCGCAATTCTTCTTTTTTTTTTCGCGACATCCCGCGCCTCCTCGCGTCCTTTCCGCCCCGGATAAATTTTCCACGCGCGTCCGCGCTTATTTTTCGATATTTTTCCAAGCCGAAGAAGCAGGGACGTCGGCTCACAAAGCCGAAACGCGCGCTGCGCCTCGTAATACCGCATATCCGCACACGGCTTGGCACCGTGGAAAAGCAGCCTTGACACAAACTGGCCTCAATGGGAATGAAAACAACGGTACTCCACTTCTCCTGACCCCCCCGTCGCCCTCGCCGTCGCTTCTGCAACACGGAAGAAACTGGCGCGTAAAGTCTGTCCTCCCCTCCTCCCGGCGCCCATCCTTTTACCAGACAGCCATACGTTCTGTCACTGTCCCCGTGTGTACTCGCCTCTTTCTCTCATCGTAATACGTCGCGATTGATTAAGAAAAAAAAAAGAAGGAAAAACCGAGCCCGTTCGATCCGATCGCGCCAGCGAAGACAATCAATGCGCGACCTTATCACCGCATGAGATTAGTAAAAAGAAAATTGACGTGCGCGTAGCTTTGCTCTCCTTTTCTCAGAGTTCCTTCACGCGGTTCCCGTAGATTCATTCTTTGTTTCTAGTAAAACGTAACAACGCGTTTGGAGAAATTTTGTAAAGAAATTGCCTCCGGAAAATTATCCTTTTAAAGTGGCTGTTAATTCTGTTATTCCATATGTTTGCGCCTCGTTATTTTCAAGAGGGATTGCTTTCGTGATTAAATTTTTGATCTCGTAGAGATATCATTTACCTCGCGCGCGCTGATAATTTATTCATTTACTTATGATGACTTATAATACGCTAATGAATCAATACGCCTTGTCTAATATTTATATAAATATTTAGTGGAGATCATCGACTGCTTCCAAATAAACGATTTAAATTTGAAATAGAAGAATCGCGAGAGGTTGTTGGAATTTAATAACTGGCAGTTGTTCTAGCATTTTGAAGAGGGTTTCATTTTGTATGACCCTTCATTTTTTAAATCGTTAAACTCCTAAAAAAATAACGCTTTAAATATAATATCATTGAAATTCGTAATTTATAGACTTCGGTTTCCGAATTCTAATGTTTAAATGTGCGTCTAGTAAAATTTCCCTTTTTCTTCCAACAAGGGGAAGATATAGGTCCGTAGGTTGGGATTTGGCTGATTTTTAAATATGTTGCTCTACAAAAAATAATACGCGGTGCAGTAACTCTTGCCAATGGGCATTAGTTTAGAAATTGAATTATTTTTAAACGAGCCGTGTGAGTAATCTACCGAATCTCTCGAATTTTTAGATCCAGAGGTCCACAGTCGCACAAATGCCCTTTGGATCTAATATTATATAATTTCCCAAAATAGTGAAAACTGTATAATCTTTTTTTTTGCGAGTTGCCATTTACGAACTTGGTTATAGCTTCATAAAAAGTGAAGATGTAGAGATCGAAGACCTGCAAATATTACACATCGCCGGAAATCCTATTTCAGGAGCGAGTTAATATCGTTTTACCTAAATAAAGAATCGAATGAATAATATTATGCGCTGCTATTATATCTTAATCGTCAGCTTCAAAGTATATTTTAGTTCAAATTATTTCATTAAACAAGAGATTTCTTCATAGATTAATAAGCGACGAATTATTGTATGCAGAAATTAATATTCTCGCGCGGTATCCTCAAATTATACGATCCTCTCGACCCGCCGTTTTTAATTATAATTGCCTGTAAATTTCACGACTGCAATTACTGTGTGGATCAACCGTTTCATCAAAATCAATAATCGCATCGGATGAAGTAATTCATCTACGTTTCAACTCGGTCGGCGATTTCGCGTGCCGTTTACGCAAATAATCATACGCGTACGACGCAACTTGTGGTTTCAAAAATAACAATTGCGGATGCGTAAAATATTTCTTCCATCGATGTACAAGATAAATACATAATGGTACGAGTATCATACACCTACGAACACGTATAACATACGGCGCGCGCTTTATTTGTCCTCTCCTTTGTCTCTAAAAAAAAATTAAAAACTGAACAATCGGATCAGGCAGTAGCAAAGAAAAGAACAAAATATTCTCCGACGATCAGTCGCATCCGCATCGATCTCGTTTCACCCGTTTCGAGACGCTCGGCGCGATAAACGTACGCGAGAAAGAAAAATTCTACGATCCGCATTTCCTCTCTTTTTTTTTTGTCCACTCGTTTAAAGTGTCATTCTACCGCGGGACGGCTGACCACGTGACGGTGCCGAGAAGCTGTCCACGAGAAGTCCGCGGGGGTAAAACCCCGCGGCGGTGCCGCGAGGGTGACACACGGGGTGCGCACACGCGCGGCGTTGCCGCGCTCCATCTCTCTCGCTCTCGCTTCGCTCGCTCGCTCGCTCGCCGAGAGCCAGCGCGAAGCGGGTTCATTGTCCCGCGTGCGCCCCGTGGTGGAGCGCCGTTTCCTCCCTCGGGCCGCCGCGATGTCGGCCCCATCAGCGGCGGCACAGCGCGTTTTCTCTCTTTCCATCGCGCTCGCCCCTCCGCCCTGTCTCGCTCGCTCGCTCGCTCGTCCGTTCGCTCCGCTCTTTTTCTTTCTCGCGCACACGCACACAAGCGGGGCACATGCACATCTCGGGGAGAGAG